TTCACCATGCCCCCCTTCTTGACTTGAAAACTCGGATTTCTCTGAGTAAATCCTCTAATCCATTAGGGGAAGGGCTGGGTAGGGTTTTGGAGATTTGACTGACAGAGGATTCTTCATGGTCTCGGATGAATTATTTCACACTGTCAAATGTAGAGCATGTTTTTGAGTTGAGAGAAAGAGCAGGTTAATGAAATTAGGATATTTTCTGAGTTGTAGCACAGTTGGATATAAGATTAGGACTAATGTGAGAACCACTGGCGTCTTTTTTTGACTTCACCCATGCAACGGTCCTGCCCGGGCTCAGTAGCACACATGCTGACACTAATTGTCCTCGTGCTGACTGTGTCTCTTCATGGACAATGGTTTTGATTGGGATGGGGGTGAGTTATGGTGTTGGGACAAGGGTCTTTGTTCAGTAGCCTTTCCCCCTTCCCTCCCCCACTCCTCCCCTTTATCCCCCTGCCCATCCATCTATCTTGTTCCAACCATTTGGGCAGCTGTCACTTAATCCAGCTAATCACATACTGGGATAGTCTGTGGGAAACCAGACTAGTCCGTGGCTTTGCTCAACACAAATTCTGACTCAGGGAACTATTTACCCAAATGTTTTACAACATGTAGGCATGCAAATAAGCCTGGATTTTGGATAAACCCAAAGGTTGAAGGTCATAATATTGGCTACCGGTTCTTCCTTTGATCTTTGATTCTGCCTTATACTGAGGTTTGTCTGCAACACTTGCATAGTCTCACAATACATGCAGGCATCACCGCAAGATCTCCTCCCAGTAATGTATGCATTGCCACTCATCGTTCCTCTTGTATGCATTGGCATATGCACACACCCACCCACATGCTCAGACTGGGGCAGCTAGCCCATCCTTTTGTGGTGGGGGGAGGGGGAATGGGTGGAAAGGTCAGAAGCCGAGCTACATGTCGTGGGATGATCCACGTTCATGTCAAATAATCCATCTTTGAGGCCGCATCTGTTGTGCGTCTGAGGTTGGACGGGTTGGCAGAGCTTCCGGCGCCAGCAGCACGAGCATTGCCCTTCGCCAAAACCCCCAGACTCACTCCTGTCTTCCATACCCCTTTCCTCGAACTACAGCTTTCCTTATACAGCCCCTCCCCTTCCCCAGCCTAGTTTTAGCCTCTCATGTCACATCAGTAGTTACAGTGTCACACGGCTGTACCCCCCCATGTCCAAACTCTGACCCAAGCCCTTTAGCTCACCCCTATCCCGTCATCTTCCATCCACTTCTCTTGTCACCCATGGTCTTCCACAATAACACTTCCCTCCCCTTCCTCCTGCCACCACCCACCGCCAGACAAGCCTACTTAATCCCACAGCCCAGCAGCAACCAGCCTACCAGCTTGATGGTCCCCCAGATCAACAACACAGACTGACACTCACACACACACACAC